TGTCAGAATGACCCACACAAGGATAAAAAGTGCATCGCTTATTTGGACAAAGTCTCGCTTGTTTCTCTGAGTGTTATCTCGAATGCTAGACATTCTGTCTTTATTTTCTCTATAATTAACTATTACAGTTTAATAAGACGAGGTCTCCGCTCTATTTGAATGTTGAACTGAACAATGTACTTGTGATACAATGAGAAGTAGTGCTCACTACGAGACACGAGACTGTGGATGTACTTGTGATACGAGAGGTTGTGTTCAATACGAGACTCAGTGAGACAGACGATGAGCCAATTTCCAAAGGTGCGTTCACCTCTGTCGCGTTCACAATCCCGGAGCGTTTGCTGATTAATAAAATATAAGAATCATTTCTCTGATTCTGGTCAATTATTTCATTCAAAATATTCATAAACACATGCCGATCTAAACATAGTAGTTTTTTCCGAATGATGTCTAGCTTCAACTCTCAAGAATTCTTAGTTACGTTTGTGTAAATTCCAAATTATTTTTTTTTGTCACGCATGGAAAATTAAGGCACAAAAATTCCGGAGCTGAATGAAAAATTCATCACTTTGAGGCCTGATAATGTGCTGCTTAGCTGATAAGCTGCAAATGAATTTATCTTCACTGTCTTACCTGAATAAGGTACATACATATATGGTGCATGATAACATTACTTTGTTATCGCTCTATTGAATCAAAAGACGTATAAATTTTGCATATCGATATTAACGCTCAACCTACTGATAAAATATTTTACTTGGCCTACTTAGTAACTCAACATTCCATAATATATTTCATTACTTTCCGTGCTTGCTGCCATCATTCTTGTAACGTAAATTAGTTATGAATCGGTCTATGTTGCCCCAGCTTCACTTGTGAACATCACCAATCCTATGCAATTTTGTTCAGGAATGCATATCTTAGAACGTAGATGCAGCAACACTAAAGGCAGATCGTAGATACATCGCTTCTACGCATGTAGACACAGTACATGTGCGCATGTAGATACCACATATGCGCCGTAGCCTAATTTTCTGACGCAAGATATGGTCGCGCGCCACAAGCCTGCGCCGCGGTCTTCACTGCACGCTCACCTCTCTAGTCGGCGCGCCTCTCGCGCCGCACGGGAAGTGGCCTACGCAGGAAGTGGTGCGACCACTTCTCTGGCGCCAAAAAGTTGTCATAAATGCGTTGTAAATAGCAAGCTATAATTATACGCACTGCGCTAGAGGCTCTTCAACATACCCTAGTTTGCACAAGAGGTAATTTCAGTGAATTTTCAATTGGTGTGTCGACACGACGCAGTACCGTGCCGATGGTATGTAAAAGGTGCTACTCATAATTTCATAAAATAAAACAAAAAAGAGCATTGTTTTCAATTACCTTTCAATAGTAAATATTAGAAGCGTCTTATCTGATCCTATAGTACAGGATCTCTTCTTGCTCTCCCAAGGGTAATGATCTATGGAAGTCCATTAGCGTCCTTCAACAGCTAAGTAAGAGTTAATTGTTGCGGAAATACTTTTCATGGAGGACAAACAAATTCCCAAGCAAAGGTCATTTAACGCTGATGCCAAATTAGTGTAAGTGCATTGCTTCTGCTGCCCCATACGTGATGTAAGTGCCTTGCAGCTGGCGAGTGCATCAATAGGAATTCAATAGGAATCTGTTAGTTGTAGATCTTTGTTGAATATCGAAGCTGAAAACTATTACTCTGTGAAATAGATAATTTGATCTATTTTGCCCCCTGTAGGAGAAAAGCAATCCGACAAGGAATAACAAAATTTTTGTAGCGAATGATGAATGTACGTATGTGTCATTATTATGTATACCTTCTTGCGTACCACCATGTAAGCGATGTTTTCCAATTTTTTCATTTGGAAAAATGAGGCGCATCAATTCAGCTATTAACATTTGCAATTTTATTCGCAGAATACGGATGATATTCTAGCTATAATAATGCATTGCGCAACTCCTGCTATATCATGACGTACAAAAATAATCTGCAATCTGACCAATGGTATTTTCCTTATCGCTATCGCTTACTGCAGACGTCAACGGCCTGGACAAAGACGGTTCAAAGGCATTGACGGTTACAAAGTTATGACGGTTTGAAGGCGTTGACGGTTACAAAGATCCGACGATTTGAAGGCGTTGACGGTTACAAAGATCCGGCGGTTTGAAGGCGTTGACGGTTACAAAGATCCGGCGGTTTGAAGGCGTAGACGGTGACAAAGATCCGACGGTTTGAAGACGTAGACGGTTACAAAGATCCGACGGTTTGAAGGCGTAGACGGTGACAAAGATCCGGCAGTTTGAATACGTAGACGGTTACAAAGATCCGACGGTTTGAAGGCGTAGACGGTGACAAAGATCCAACGGTTTGAAGGCGTAGACGGTGACAAAGATCCGGCGGTTTGAAGACGTAGACGGTTACAAAGATCCGACGGTTTGAAGGCGTAGACGGGGACAAAGATCCGGCGGTTTAAAGGCGTTGACGGTTGCAAAGATCGGACGGTTTAAAGACGTTAACTGTTACGAGGCCGTTAAGGTTTGAAGACGCCAACGGTTATGAAAGGTATGACGGTTCGAAAACGCAAACGGTTATGAAAGGTCTGACGGTTTAAAATAGCAGCCGGCTGACGTAAGATGCCCGCTGATGCCGCTGGCGCTGCTTCGCTGCCTGGGGCGATGCCCATTGGAATGTTAAAAACGCAGGCGATTCCTCGATAGGCTCTTATTGCGTGCATCTTATAAACAAATTATACCAATTTTTGGTTAAGATTGTGCCTTAAGATACACTTTTTCATCATTTCTGCGTTCAAATAAAACGATTCAACTATTTGCATGCACCGAATGACTATCGGAACAAGTGCGGTAGCCGAATTATTGCTGTTGCTGGTTGACGCGTTTGCCTAGACTTCAGTAAAGTATTTTAAATCGTTTGTCGTGATATAAATGTTATTAAAATGAAGATTATTTGAATTACTGCCGCGGAACAAGAGTCCTATATTGCCATGGCAGTCGTTGCAAGTTAGGTTCTGTGTTCTTTCCCGTGGCCTTTGTATATATAAACGAATCGAGAACATCTTGATTAATGATAATAATTTTAGTGATCATTCATATCATTCATAATCACTAATTAATAATCACTAAATGAATCGTACTTGACTTGAAGCTAAGAGGTTCAGCTTCTTTGCGTCACGGCCCGCCGAGGACAACTACATTCGCTTCCTAGAACTGAAAACTATTGGCATTTTCTTTATATTAAATATAATTATCATGGTTAAGTGATGGCGATTAATGTCAATTTGACAAAGAGCGTGACGAATTTTTCTCATCTGACTCATTTATGAACTGGAGCATAATTATGATTTTATTATAACAATTTATTTGTACCCAAATTAGTGGATTTTCCGATGTTTATATTATGACATGAATGTTCTCGTATGAAGTTAAACGAGATTTGTATTATATATGTAAAAGAACTATATTTTTACCAGGACTTTTTCGAAATATAATTTACATCATTTCTAACCTAAAATGTTCACGTTATAAAATCATAATCGATCGAGACCAGACACACCAAGATTGGAAAGCTAGCTTCCAAGGCTCCATTGCAACACAGCAAGAATTTGAAATCATTAAATTTTGAAAAAAAGGACCATCAAATTTTGTTTGAATGATGCGCTCACCAAGCACTCCTGGAACTATTGCCACTGATCGGTTCTGTTCCACTGACTGTTCTGTTCCGGTTTTTGAGGCGATAGTCAAATGATGCGTGCTGACATTTAATTAAATTCAGTTGCTCGCTGATCTGTAATTTGCTTCATTATTAAACTGTTAATTTATGCACTTTTCTGTACCGGTATTGTGATGACAGTTACGGAAGGTGTTAGAACATCCATGTTAGAAAAGACCATACACGCGTGCTGTAAACATAAATTTTTGTAAGTCATGTGAATAAAAATTGTGACCCGACTGGCTGAATAACTCACTGTCTAGACTCTAGACGACTGATAACATCATGTGATGGGGTAATAAATATCATGTGCACCTGACACCGCAAATGGCGGGCATATGAATGCATTCCCTAAAATAATGAGATTACATAACAGTTCATTTGAGAATAAAAATAGCGGTTTCACTCGTAAACAGAGGTCAAAGCATTTCCTCAATCATAAAAAATACCTGAATGTTCACATGATTATATACAAAGACGTAATCTTGATTATAATCAGTTCGCTATAAGCGAATATGAGTTCGTAGAATGTGTACTGAATGCCGTTTATACTCGTATTGTTGTTCTCATTTATACATGCCTCGACGATCATCTGGATTCTGGGCACAACTATTGCGTTGATATTCTCTTTTTTTGGTCAATCAATGGCTGCAAATTTGCATAATCAATGGTATTTATTTTGTGCGCACTGTTTATTTACGAAGCGAAGTATCTTTGTAACGCTTCATGCCATTAACGACTGCCTCCGAAACGGGTCAATTCCCATCACTATCATAAAATGAGTAAGCGTAAAACTACTTTTCTTCACCACAAGCCGACATTTTCAGGGTATAATTCTAAAGAATTTCTGTTAGGTTTTTACGTCCACGCAGAACAAGGCACAACACGAGCGTTGGACAAACCTGCTCTTCAAGCGCCACGCTCTTCGCAGACCTTACCTCCGAGAAAACCTCAATGAAATTCATAAGAATTTTGCTCCTTCATACTAGTAAGGCCTGAGCTGCGCACGAGTCCACTCATTGAAAAGGTTGTTGGTAAACATGCTTGACTCCGCCCCAGAACACTGAGTGACCACGTGCTTCAGGGTAGTTCATCTTATCAAGAAACCCGCTTGAATTTCGCCCGGCAAAGCCTTCAGTCCACCAGACTTGAGAGTCTCAGTAAACCTTTTGAATGTTTCGTCATGCAGTTAGTGGAGGCATGACAAGAACGTCGGCTCAGGTATATAAAGGGGAGGATGAGCCAAGATTCTTTAGTTGAGCTCCGACTGTCCAGTGCAGAAGATCTTACTGTTAGCGGAGAGCAGCTGCATTGCTAAATAAGCACCACCTTCAGCAACTGTGGTTGAACTGATCATAAGTTTATTAAGAAAAAAGTTATTTGAAGAAGAAGAGTTATTTCTCACATACCGTCAAGTTTGCAAGATTTTTTATTGAACAAGTTTTAATCGTATTCATCTTATACAAGGTGGGTTGTGACATTTTACTCGTGTATTTGTATTTCTTAGTGCATGTCTAATGAGTGTTGTATGTTTCATTCAACTTAAGTCTCATGCACGGTCGCTAATTGTAATTGAATTTTAGTCAACTTTATTGAGTGGAATTTTCCATGGCGCCTCCCATCGCATGGAGCAAAAACTTGGAGCTCTGCACGCCGCACGCTTCCCCGGCATTTATTCTCATGATTTATGGTCCAGTTTAGCCTTCAAATCATATTCAAAGGCACTCCTAAAATATCATTATTTTCGACTTTGCGCCTTGCATAGCATAAGAAGCAAACAATTTCATTATTTTAGTAGAATTATTACTTGTTTTTTATTGCCTTGCGTGCAGCTGTTCACAAACTAGTCGCAAAAAGGCCTATTATTTGCGCACTAGAAGCTTGTCGAGATAAAAATTCTAGCTTCTGGCCAAACGAAAGCAAGTGCATGAACGCGCGTTGTTGCATGAGTTGCAGGGTGTAATTTGGGAGGGTTAATATATGAACATGTGTACATATAATATTGGGTCTAAAAATATGTAATTAAACTTTACTTAATATATAGCTAATATTTTGGAACTGATCATGCTACTAGGCTGGATTAATCTTGAATATATGAACCCAACATGTGTACATATCATATTGGGTCTAAAAATATATAATTAAACTTTACTTTATATATAGCTAATATTTTGGAATTGATCATGCTACTAGGCTGGATTAATCTTGAATATATGAACCAACATTCCTAGAATTCCACCCTTATGAGTTGCCTAGACTTCTTGTTGCGTCTACACTATAATCGTCTTACCGTCTACCAGGTCGTGATGGCGAACAAAACAGCTAGCCTGCTAAGCTCGCTGACTTCGCTGCTCAAGCAAGTTCATCTTTACGATTACCAAACAAATGACGATCTGGAATCGCCTGTCTCATCTTTGGACTCGTTGGGATTTTCTCCGTCAGAATCGTCGACATCTCTAGCATCCGCTGACTCCATATCCTCGGAGCAGGATACCCTCCAAGCTATACACTACGCAGCTCCAGCGTTCTCAATAGATTCGTCTTCAGAATATTCCCAAACACACATTTCTGAATCTCTCGAATCTTTCACAAGCTTCAGTTATAAGGGCGATATCGATTACGATGATGTTGATCATTGCCCACCAGCCTCCAAACCTCGCAGAGAAAACGAACCCAAGTTACCCGAGTACAGTCTGAACGAAGTAGCGCAACACGACATGATGCACGACTGCTGGATCGTGCTTTATGATAAGGTGAGTAACACCAAATATTTACATTTGCTTCAAGTTTTTACCATCAAAACTTGACATTACGTTTACATTTATGCCAACAAAACGTGGCACGATCATGCAATTACCCGACATTTATAATAATTTGATGATGGTAGAATATTTCGATATACATCATGTGAAGCTTCCACGTAAAAGTCAATTCTGCTGTACTTTTATGTAATAAATGCTGCTGTGTCTTATAATTATTTAATTTCTTCAGGTTTATGACGTGACGGATTTCTTATTCGAGCATCCGGGAGGTGAAGAGCTAATGATGGAGCACGCTGGTCGAGATGGAACAATAGCTTTCCGAGGAGTCGGTCATTCGAAAGCTGCTTTGCGCAGCCTGCAGCGATACCTCATTGGGGAACTGCCTTCTTCAGAACGAATATTTGGCTCCTGGGAGATGCACTGACAAAACCTTAGTGATTACGACTGGATGATCTTAAACCTTATTAGTTCAATTTAATTAATTAATTAACCTTATTAGTTCAATAATTTAAACGGCATCTGATTTATTCTTCATCTGTTAACAGATGCAATGATATAAACAAGATTTGCACTGCCATTATCGCCACATTCATAAAAATCAACATAAATTAAATTCCATCGTCATTCCATATAATTATATTTTCATCCTGAAGTTCTTGATTTCATGTAGCTCATCATTCGACATATCTTTTAAGATAAGAGCCATTCGGTTTATTAATATCACTCGATTTAGTCTAGTCAATTAGTATTGTTAAGTTATCTTACTCGTCTTGCAAATGCATATTAATTAGGATGATAAAAAAGCTATTTTATTGCTGCTATTACCTGAGATTGTAATAAATTAGGATGCCTTATTTATATTTGAGGCTTTAAAATTAGGCATTATTAGATTTTTTTGAGACCCATTAGATAATTTATTGACGAAACGATGTTAATAAATCTACATATGTTTTTAATATCTACATGGTTTGAACTTGTACAAAAATATGACCAAAAATTTTTCTTCATGTCATCCATTACAAAAAAATACTTAAATTAAACTATTAATGTTGATGCGCATGAACCAATGGGCAAGTCCAATTTTTCTATAACTAAATTCAATAAAAAATATATAAATTAGATTTCAACAAATTTCACGTTTGCTAATCTTCTCGTGAGTTGCGTAAGGCCGAGTAAAAAGTGTTATACGTGTACCTGGATAGTATTTTAGAAATTATAATAATAATAAATTTTAGCAGCAGACGTTATTGAGGTGAAGTTCTCGCTGTAAGTTTCTCAAATATAATCAATAAATTATATACACTTTTTGTTATTCATTTGTTGTTCCTCAACCGATTTTATTATATTCACCTTTATTTCTTTTGACTGAAAATAACACTATTCATCACTATGGTCGTGGACCCTCTTAGATTCATAAGAACTAAGCAGAGAAAAATTGGGGGTTTTAAAGTAGGGGGGAGGGGAAAGGGGTGTGGGGAAAGAAGAAGGGTGAGGGGAAAAGGGAAGAGGGGGAGCACAATTCTGATGAATACGCTAGAAAAATCTCGTTTGCCAGCACCCCTCCCCCCAATTCAAGCTTGTATGAAGGACAGTTGATGCTGAAGGATTCAATCCATTACTGCCGAATAATTATATGGCTATAAACACGAATATATTTAATTGTAGGTGAAAAAAACCAGCACTTTCACCGGGTAGGTACCAGGTATGTTGTACATAAATTACGGCTGGCACAGTCGAAAACTCATCTCCATGAACCTTCAATGTTCATTCATTAGTTTTATGAATGGGTTTTTCTTTGCTGTTCGCTGGGTGACCTTACTGAACATAATCAAGATGAGGCTACAATTCGTTGCTCTAGAGGGAACAAAAATTCGCTGTGCCTTACCTCATTTCGATTTTCTCATTTTTTTCCATTTCCACCGTTGCGCATTTTCATATAAAAAGCGAGAACGTAGTTTGTACCAAAAATTCTGTATGAATATTTGTATATTAATTTTTTCAACTCATACGTTGAGGATAAATGTCATAGTTTAATTTAAATTGAAAAAACATGCTTCGTTATTTCAGAGATAATTATTTATTTATTTATTTTCAATTTGGTAATTTTTTATTGCACTTATATTTATATATTAATATATTTTATTCGTTCTTTTCATTAATGAAAACTTCACATTCATCAAATTTTATCACGATCACGTTATCGACTAATATCAAGACTCATATATATCCGAGAAAAACCTTCATAGGCCAGACCGACTGCATGATTGTGTGCGTAAAACGAGGCAGGAATACGACAAACTAGGATCGTTAATCAGAATTTTGTATTTTCTAAATTGGAGACACATTTTTTATCCTCCTAAAATACGTTTTGAAACCTCAAAACGATATAAAATGAGATTCCACTGCGCTAGACACTTCGAAATAGTGTTTCTAAACGAAAATATGCTTAATCTAATAGTTCAACTATGGAAAAATCCATCGAATGAATGAAACATCTCGTCTAATTAATTTTGTGCACACTTAAGATGCATTGGGGAACTCGAAATCTTGTTCATTATTTTTGAAATTCTTCTATCGTTTTAAAGATTTTCAAAAATTCCTAATTTTAATTATTAAAATTAAAAAGTGGTAGCCGTGTTCAAATTTTCTTTGGTCAGTGTTCATTCCAGTTATACATGTACGTGTTGAATTTGACGGCTTTACATTATCCAATTAAATCATACATTATTTGATTGTGTTTATCTCTTACCGCTAAACACATTTAAATACAATTAATTTACCAGTTCCTTCATCTTGAAAATGGCACATTTAACATTTATTTCAAAGGCCGACGCTAAAAAAAAGGATTTTTAGATAAAACTAAGGAAAAATAGAACGAACATAATAGGTTGCCTTGGTAAATTATTTGAACCAAAAACAGATAATATACGAGAGACAGATGCATAAGGTAATTATTAATTATTATTTTAATCATATATTCGTATAGACTAGTCACTCAGGGAAAGTGAAACATTCGATCAGCAGGTAAAGGTCGCGTAATTTTAACTGAGATTTCTACTCATGTTTCTCTATGTATAAAAACTGCAAGAAGCAATGGATGTCCAAAAAATTCTTGTAAAAAATATAATTGAAAGCATGGATACCCTTTTTAAACATTTGCTTACAAAATTAAACCACAATTTTTTCTTATTTGCCTAAAGTTAGTGAACCATTTAAGTACAAAAAAATTGCCGATAATATCCGGATGAGGAAAACTTTTCAAACTGGAACGGCTTTTCGAGGGAAATGAAATGCATAAGTGGCACCTTGCGATGTAATTCTATCATCGTCTAAAAACTTTGGTTCGCTGAATACAAACCATGAGGAATTTTGCCGCTCAAGAATTTTGCTATTGCTTCGCCATGCTTTCTTCTCGCACTAATTATGTCTAAACATAGTGAAAAAGTTTTATACATAACAAAGAAATTAGTTTCAACAATAACTCGAAACAACCATGACTAAATATGAGGCAAAAGTTTAGAACATAACAAAGAAATTAGTCTTAATAATAACTCGAAACAACCATGAGTAAATATGAGGCAAAAGTTTAGAACATAACATAGAAATTAGCCTTAATAATAACTCGCAACAACCATTACTAAATATGAGGCAAAAGTTTTAAACGTAATAAAGAAATTACTTTTAATAGCTCATGAATGATCGGAATCAGTAATTCATTTTAAATAAAAATTAACTCTGGCGTTTCTCACTTCGTAGTACGCCGATTCTGTAAGGTTGAAGCATTTGGACGGCTTCAGGCGAGTGGCCTTTTTGGCCGAATTCTTCGGTGGCGTCCTGGCCACCGCACTCCAGAATAACGTCTTCACCGCCCACGTGTTCAGCGAGGAAGTTCGTCACGTCGTACACCTGCAGGTAACAGAAAATTAATTTCATTCAGTGACATAAATGGTTTATATTGTCTAAATAGTGACACTTTTTAGCGCATTTTCTCATTTATGGAAAAAATGCACTATTGTGCTCGCCATGTCCGTCTGTCTGTCTGTCAGTCTGTCTGTCCGCCTGTGACCTCAAGTTTTCGTCGACTTAGCATTGATATGCCCGTAATTTCGCCGTGCCAAACTGGGACAGTGCGACCCAAACTGGGGCAAAAAGAAGTTTTTTTCAAATTTTAATATTTTTAATAATACTTTTTCAATACTTTTAATACTGGATGGAAATGCAATATCATCATCAATAACTCTCCTGCACTCGTCAATTGCTTTGTTATTGTACTGTGTTGTTAAGTTATTGTAATACAAACACAGTTACTATTGAATTACTGCAGCTCATGAATATTCTCGTACTGATATTACTTTTCGCGAAAGGTATACTATGAAATCATTCATTATCAAATGATATAGTAGCTTCAAATTGATTAAGCAAGAGTAACGTGCCAATATCCAAAGGTGACTTATGTACATAATTGATCTAAGATTCCACTTCCGGTGCTTCCGATTTTTATAATTAAGAATCCTTGCGTATTTTTAAAGCAAGCCTAGTTTAAATGCAGTCTCTAGCTCTTATCTACTTGAAATTGCGAATAGAAAGGTGTTACCTTTCAAATTATTTTTTATAACTTTTTTGGAAGTATAGGTTTCAACTTCTGTTCTTGTTGAATTTCGACTGTACTCAACTAATTTCATCTGTATTCTAAAATTTTTGAACTGACGATGGAGCTGGACTCCAAAATATTGTATATAAATATGTGATAAATTTTTGTGGAATTTTCACTACTTTTAAACTTCCAACAAAATATTTAAAAATCGTTACATTTTGAAGTCTTAATTTGTAATTTCTCACAGACTCTAAATTAGAGATAAATGCTGAATCATGGCAAATAATCATGATTCACAGAAAGTGATCAAAAAGCTATTATATCCATTGTAATTTCCTAGTTGATTACCTACTTTATAAGATGTTTACGTAGACTCAATATGATTGTTTCTAAATTATTATCGAAAATTATCCGAAATTTTTTTTGGATAATAATCTTGAGAGCTTAATAAAGCACAAAAAAACATAAAACACACATTGAAACGACAAGGTAATTGATTTTTCTATTCATTAGTTACGTTTAAAGTATTACATTACGTATAGAATTATATTCATGAATCAATTAACTGACCATAAACAAGATTTCATCGTGTCTCAACCCGGACAACGTACCTGATCGTGGATTATTATCCAGCAATCATCTTTGGTGCTGTGTTTCAGAACATGTTCCTTCAGGTATTCGGTATCAGGTTCGTTGTTATTGGTTATATTAGAGAGACTTGGGGACTGAGGGAGCTGTGGAGACTGTTGGGACTCTGGGGACTGGTGGGACTGTAGGGACTGAGGGAGTTGTGGGGACTGAGGGAGCTGTGGGGACTGAGGGAGCTGTGGAGACTGAGGGAGATGTGGGGACTGTGGGGGCTCACGCCCCTCCGAAGCGGAGCCGCCATTTTGTCGAGTTTGTCTCGGTGGTTGAGGACAATATTCTATTTTCAGGATTTCGCCTAAGAGCTCACTCATTGTTGGCACTTGATTTACTTAGAGCAAACTATTATCAATTGAAACTTAGACTGATCTGGAATTATGTTAGATTTCGTGAGCGATTAAACTTATTTTCATCCAAATTGATTGTTGAATGATGGTTTGAGACACGATGTGAAAATTCATTTTGGGTTAGAAATTGATGTGGGTTAATGTTTTACATGGGTGCTTTTAGATGACGCGATTCAAATTGGTCGCTTTACGCAATATTAGTAAAATTTTAATTTAAAATTTCAAAAAATGTACCACAATTTCTCTATTAAATTTTAAGTTGTTAAAGATTAGATTGCTTTGGAAATTTAGAACATTTTACTTTATTTGTAATCTTGCACATTGATTTGAATCGAAAAGTGGATCTGATGACATCGATTCAATTTGAAAGGCGCTTTTTGCTTTGAGCAGACAAGTACATCATTAATTAAGAGATTTTAATTAAGGCATATGGGGAGTGAAAGATAATCTGCACATTGTTCAAACTAAGGAAACATATTAATCGAATGAATCACGAAAGCATAACGAAATTGTCTCACGGTGACTGCATTGTTTACGTATCTGAATAGCACAGTATCCGCTCAGGTACACATGTAAATTCCTAAGACTCTGGATTGCACACTATAAATAAAAGTTTCATGTCCTCAAATCAATAGTTTTTCATCGATTAAGCTTCACTAATTTTTAATTGCTTCATGAAATTCAAGTATGACAGTGATTAATAGTTCGTGCTATACTAATCATTACTCGAAACGAAGCTCTTTTAATTTTTTCTTTTATATTTTCTTTTCAAATTTGCCTGCTTTTCTGCCCACGAACTGATCCAAGGATTCATTCCCTGACTCTGAACGAAGAAGCACTACCTTCTTGACGAACCAAACTTGCGTTATCTTTCGTTATAACAAACTGAGAACTGTCCCACGTACGGATTCATTCCCCAACTCTGAACGAAGAAGCACTGCCTTCTTGACGAACCAAACTTCCGTTATATAGAACTGAGAACTGTCCCAATGGTTCATTCCCCAACTCTGAACGAAGAAGCACTGCCTTCTTGACGAACCAAACTTCCGTTATATAGAACTGAGAACTGTCCCAATGGTTCATTCCCCAACTCTGAACGAAGAAGCACTGCCTTCTTGACGAACCAAACTTCCGTTATATAGAACTGAGAACTGTCCCAATGGTTCATTCCCCAACTCTGAACGAAGAAGCACTGCCTTCTTGACGAACCAAACTTCCGTTATATAGAACTGAGAACTGTCCCAATGGTTCATTCCCCAACTCTGAACGAAGAAGCACTACCTTCTTGACGAACCAAACTTCCGTTATATAGACTGTCACGAACGTCGCCCTCTCAGCGAACGTACCCGCCCTAGGCGCTCGGACGACACTGGACCCTCCCTCACGTGATTTTCAGTGATGTAACCGACGTGGTACGTAACTATTTGAAATGCATTGGTGAAGACTTGTCGAGGTATTTAATTGTGTTGATATTTAAATCACATCACGGCTATGCTAAGGCACAGTGTTCGTAAACGCATTTGTTCAGTTCTGTTGCGACTTCTGATGAAGAAAATACTAAGGAAAGCTAAACAAAGGCTTTAGTAACTCTCCTTTGAAACCAAATAAAAGTTATTATCCGAGTAATTTGCAAATTACGTTCGTATGTAATTATAGAGTAATATTATATGTATTAATTCTTTATGAATACGAATGACCTAATATATTTTGATAAATTATGAATATTCACTGTCTTAAACAATTATACATCAGCCTCCAGAACGTTCCCTACCGTTTCATTGCCTGCATCTTGCACCATGGCAACTAGAATCCTGCTCTTGTTTAGAGGAATGTATCATGCTTAGCGTGATGCAATCAGTAACTCACGGTTATTTTTGGCGCACTGTATCATGGGTAATTTCCTCTCCCGCAGTCACTGAGTAATAACCCGTAATGTCTGAGTCTCAAACGCCTACCTTTCCAGGATATATATATTGCTTCTTTACAAATTTAATTTTTATTTGGTGTATTTACTTTCCATCTAATGTTTCTTTTTAGATTGAGTGCAATAATTGCATCTTTAGGCATGTTTCTTTGTGGGTGAAGGCGAGGAGCTAACTATGTATAATACAGGACTAGACTAACTATGTATAATACAGGACTAGAAATTCCAACAATCATTAGCATTCAGAGTATTTTTGGGTCATCAATCATAGACACCATTCAACACTATCCGACATAATCCAACACTGACCACTGTAATGATGACGGAATGAAAAATAATAAAATAATTCTTAAAGAAGAACAAAGGCTAAAAAACTATTCGTAGTCATTATATCAAAGTCAGTTAATTTTACTTTTTTAACTTTTTATCAATGGTTAATATTATTAGAAAGTTTATAGTCTTTTATTACAAAGTTTATAGCCACATCGAACTCAACTTGTAGTACCAGAAGTCGATGCGGTAAAATCAAGTCATTCATTTATGCACGTTGTGAAGCTTTGATATGGTTTTACATCAACTCCTGCCCGCAGCTTCAATCTTTAAGAAACTTTGTCATTTATTAATACATATGTAAAAAATTTTCATATGAACGACATAGCTGTTCCTGCCGTAAATGCCACCGCAAAACAACTTATTCATTTATTTATGAATATTTTAAAAATTTCAAATGAAGCAACAACTGCCCTTAGAATAGAATAGAAGTGTCGGCACTGAAGAAATAGGCCCATGGCCTGTTGCCGATTCTTGAACTTTTCGTGACTTGATTCACAAGGGATCCGGCCTTTGGAACCCGATCTTTTCATAACTGACGATTGATTGAGATAGCTTCTGGAATTATTGCCTGATCCGTAGTTTGCCTGTCTCTTATACACATCTAGATGTGTATAAGAGACAGCTTCAAAGTCTGTTTGCATACGAATCAGTAGTGNGTCAGTGCACCAGCTCTGTCAGTGCACCAGCTCTGTCAGTGCATCAGCTCTGTCAGTGCACCAGCTCTGTCAGTGCACCAGCTCTGTCAGTGCACCAGCTTTGTCAGTGCACCAGCTTTGTCAGTGCACCAGCTTTGTCAGTGCACCAGCCCTGGCAGTGTACCAACTCAGGGAGTCCATTCTCCACACAGCGTAAATAAGAAAAATTATTAATTATAATAAACAAGCAATTAAATCTATTTTAACCCATTACTACAATGCAGAGACCTATTGCAGCATCGAGTATGTGACCTAGCAGCATCTAGTATGTGACCTTGCAGAGTGTGAACGACGAAAAATGGTTCACTGTTTTTTCGGAATCGCATCTATGTAGACATTCCTCTCATATAAGGAATGTCTTGCCCTGCTAGCAGATCTGTACAGTGTACACCTATTACTCTGTCCTTTATAGAGATTTTTCCTTTATATAGGTTTTGAGCAGCTGTTTAATTGCCCTAATTTGTCAGAATAACTGCAAAATGGTTATTTTCATCCCCAATCGTTATACATATATTATTTTAGCAAGTTAGTAGCTGGCGTTCCGCCCAGGGTGACCATTCTAAACGGTAAGGACGTGAACGTTCGGTCACTGCTGCATCGAAAATGTGACCTAGAAATATTCAAGCAGCGGCTAAGGTACCTGTAGCTACCTGCTACACCTGCTGCACCTGCTGCACCTGCTACACATGCTACACCTGCTACACCTGCTGCACATGCTACACCTGTTGTGTGTCTGTTATCGATGCGACGTCGGTTCCTGCATATCCGCATTTAGTCTGAAATGCTGAAAGTGCAACCAATGTTGCAGGTGCTGCATTCTCATCCCGCCAGACCAGCAGCCTTAAGATCAGATCGCCTTCACGTCCAATCAAGCGGAAAATTATGAACTTGATTGGCCATTCGTGCCAGTTTTTTTTAATCGGATTATTTGCAATGCAGTTGTTCTGCATCCTCGGGATATCGGGCAAAAATATGCTATTCTTAGATAATAAAGACGGTAGTGGTGGTTATATTGTACTTACAGTAGGGGGAAATAAATATTCGTACACTTGAAAAATCGTATTTTAAAGTATGTGTAAGTGCACAAACTGAACAGGAGAAGTGATTTATATTATGTATAGAGGCGCATTGTATTCAAAAATAGCATCAATAGAAATTAAATCTCAATGCAACAAAAATTAATGCAACATGTTAACTTCTTAACTATGCGTCTCTATACATAATTTAAATCACTTTTCCTGTTAAGTTTGTGTACTTACATACATTAAAATACGATTTTTCAAGTGTACGAATATTTATTTCCCCCCACTGTATAAGCGCATACAGGCGTCATGCATTTATTAAACTTGATGTTGGTGGTAATGTTATGGTACAGTAGGTACCTACATTCCATGTGGCATAGGAGAACATTTTTGAGACTGATAATAGTATACAACATTGTTACGGTTCCTAATTGATATTTTCTTGGTTGTTTTAAACGCGTTTTTTCCTATTTTTTCATTTTTTCAGTGTTCGAAAATTATTTGAAACTTAAATTCTCATAAAAATTCTCAATGCAGCCGGAAAATCAATTAACTTGTGTGGGCTCTCCACAATTAAGCATAAAAATGACTTATTCACGAACCCAAAGTGCCATGAAAATTTTTCATGGAACCATTGATATTTTCCATGTTTTCACAAACATTCTAAATTGTTCCTAAATTCACCAAATGATAATAAAGTTACCCCTAAGTCCCAGCATAGTGCTATATTTTTTATCTTCTTTTCTATATACTCAGGCTCTTCAATAACATGTATACCTTAGCATCCGGGGTCAATGGTTCCATAATTTAGCCGATAATTTGACGATAATTTCATTAAATGTATTTTTTAGGGCATTGTCTTGAATTTTTAAATCTTCATACTAAGTCAGCATGCGTTTTGCAATAATGCTCAAGTCTACGCAACGTACTAATTACCAAATTCTTCAAGATTATTTTCATGGTTACTTAATATCTGTATTTTTGGCCGTACCCGGCGCCATTTCGTTATGTTATGTCAGTCGCCATCATTTACTTGAATGCAGACTTTTTTCATTAAAGAATATAACAACTTCTAGTTCAAAAATAATTAGAATTAAATGTTACGCCGGTCCGATCAAATTTAGTCCTGCCGGAACGGTCTAGCGCCTCCATGCTAGCTTTTATACCCCACGCAGCACTTTTATTTATTTTATTATTGTTCGTTATCGGCACTGATCTGTATGAATGAAATGCATAAATATGATGATTTGTAACTTCGTTATCGATACTGATCTGCATAAATGAAATGCATAAATATGATGAATTGTAACTTCGTTATCGGCACTGATCTGTATAAATGAAATGCATAAATATGATGATTTGCAAATTCGTTATCGGCATTGTTCTACATAAATGAAATGCATAAATTTGATGATTTGCAACTTCGTTATCGGCACTGTTCTACATAAATGATATAGTCTACCCGGTCTAATGCATAAATATGATGATTTGTAACTTCGTTATCGGTACTCGCTTGCAGATCATCATAACTCATATAAATGAGTAAAACATTTTTGCAAATATCGATGCACTTTTTGTTCTTTTTACAGTTGTTTTTAATTCATTTTATTTCATTTTTGCCGCAGATATTCTCAGCGTGCACATTAATGATTTTCCTGTAGGATTTTAGTGGTAGCGTAATCATAAATTTTGGAATTAATAAATCCTCTTCGGGGATCCCCCGACTGCGATGTGAAAGCGCAACCACTCATAAAAAAGGATGGTATCCTACACTTATTGTTACACTCGTTTTTTTGCGATATTGTTGGCCAGTTCCGATAACTGATACTTAAGTTTAAACTTCATTTCGTGTTCCTAAAGTCAGCTCAGTATGTTTCGTGGGCGAGTTTCATATGTACCTTTACCGTCCACTAATAGAATCATAAACATATTGTATTATACATTGCATGTTTGCATAGTTTTGATTTCTTTTATCGCGTCTATGAACTTGTTACTCCTCCGACTTTTCCTCCCAATTGCATGACACATAAGGTCTATAAAACACTAAAACTTTAATTTTATCCCGGTTTCATTCAATCCTCCGCACGTATTTCCGTCCTCGCTCAGTGAGATTTTGAGAACCTGTTTCAGGGGTTGAGAGATTTACGACATCCCGGGGACTCCCCAGCACAACAGTTAGCGCGTTCGATTGTAAATCAAAATTTGAATAATAATGTAAACAAATACTTCGCAAGTTATAGTGTATGTAACTTTTTTTAGCAGCGTAAACGTGCATCAGCAACGTTAGCTTAATAATTGGGCACTAGATTTCCTTTGAAATTATGGTAACGTGTACGCTGGCGATGAGTACATAAAGTGTAATTTATTATATGGAAAATTTTTTATGTTCTATGCCTAGGGCTTCTGACAGAGATCCAGGCCGGTGGGTGCATTTGTCACCACAAGCCTTAACCCCAACCAAAAAAAAAATATGTATGGGGCTGTTGATATTTACGGGGAACAGGAAAATATGAAGAACACCGAGTGAAGAGGTAAAATTATCCTCCTTCAATTATATTGAAAGCGCACAATAACATTACAATACAATCCTGTTTCTCTAAATTAAATTGCATCGCCTCCACTCATCGATAATATTAGAACGTATGGCCAATTAAATAAAGGCTTAGATAGCGGATGCCGAAAAAAAATAACGCTTTTCTTCCATTTGTTTCTTCAGTCTAAAATTCGAACCCTGTATGAAGAAATCATGCATTGCTAGAAGTTTAAAAATATATTTATAAACATACTGTACAAATTCTGCCGCCGTTTTAATTTGAACAGCATTTTTGTCGTTTAAAATTGAACAAATTTCTAGGTTTGGGGGAAGTTTCAAGTTTAATTTAAAAAGTTATCAATTGTGACTATAGTGGGAAATCGAATGAAATCCCTGAGTTGATATTTCGTGATATTTGGTTTTGAATTTAAGTTTAAGCCGGAAAACGCATTTAGCAAAAATAAAAAATAAACGAAAAAAAAAGAAAACGAAAAAAACGTTTTCTTTTTTCAGAAAAAAAAGAAACATTTAGAAAACGGCTGACGTTTAAGTTGAAATGGTATTAATTCTAATTCTATTTCATAAACGGCTGAACTGACGCTCATGGAACTTGAACAGCATTTTTTGGCGTTTACAATTGAAGAATTTTCTGCATTTTGGGAAATTTTCGAGTTAAATTTGGAAAGTTATTCAATTTACTTTTAATTCGAGCGAACTGCTGTACTAACACTAGTTAAATTTGAACAGCATTTTTACCGTCCCTAAGTGAACAAATTTTTACGTTTGGAAAATTTTTCATGCTTAATTTAAAAAGTTATTTACATTAATTCTATTTTTGACACGTCTGAATTGATACGCGTGAAATATGAACAACTTCTTTCTCAATTACGTGTATATTTCTTTATGCGTACTTAGTGTTGAAACTAAAGGGTTAACTACGGCTGTATTAAAATGTGACGTTCACTTTGCGAAAGTAATTTCAATTTATTAAAGTTTTCGAATCAAATTTTTTTCACTGATAACCAACGATAAATTTAGGTACTGCATTATCAAATTGGCCGGTGCCCGCTGGTGCTGACGCATTTCCCCCAAAAAAAATAAATATGTAAACTCGAAGGAAAATAGTCTGATATATAAAAAAAATGACTCGAGATTTGTGTCCTTAGGTGCGTAATGATCCTATCAATAACGTGGAAGCATTTCTTCGGCGTCCGCGGAATGTTCTTTTTGGCGGAACGCAATCCCAACAAAATAAACATGTAAACTCAAAGGAAAATAGTCTGATACATAAAAAATATGACTAGTGAAATTTGTGTCCTTAGGTGCGTAATGATCCTATCAATAAGGTGGAGAACATTTCTTCAGCATCCGCGGAATGTACTTTTTGGCGGAACGCATTCCCAACATAATAAACATGTAAACTCGAAGGAAAATAGTCTGATACATAAAAAATATGACTAGAGAAATTTGTGTCCTTAGGTTCGTAATGATCCGATCAAGTAGCTAGAAAGTATTTCTTCGGCGTCCGCGGAGTGTCCTTTTTGGAGGAACGCAGCGGTAGCGTCGCGGCCTCCGTACTCAAGAATAACGTCGACCCCGCCAGGGTGTTCAGCGAGGTACTGCGTCACGTCATACACCTGTAGGGAGGAAGGTTAGTTAGCCTGACCACTTAACATCATAAATTATAATATAAATCAGAATAATTATTCTAGTATAGTATATTCTTATTACGACTCGATGTATTTACCTGCCTGTCGATGATTATCCAGCAGTCCTGCTGATTGCAATGCTTCTTCACTTCCTCCCGCGAGTATTCCTTCATAGGCACTTTGACTTCATTCAGTGGCATGTTGACTTTATTAATTATGTGTTTCTAATTTCTAAGTAAAAAATCTTTAGAATTCACGCTGTTAGAAGTGATGGAATTGTTTGTACTGCAATGAGCATTACACTCAATAGCAAGAATTATTCATAATTTGAGTTGCGATTACAGGTTTTATTTATCATCCGTTGCCGTGCTTTGGTTAACTTAGCCACTGACGTCTCATCTGTGGCGCGTCTGCCTAGCTTAATAAAAAGTACAATACGCACTAGTCTTTCTTCAATTGTTACGTTGTTTTAAAATCTGAAATTAACCTCTTGAGAATGCAATCGTAAAGCATGCATGAATATTACGTATGGAACGGAGATATTAAGATCTTAGATTTACTTTCCTGACGATGATGTGGGGTGAGATTAATTGACTTCGAAATAAATGCAGTTAAATTTTAACCTGACTAAGTCGGGGACAACTAATGTGTCGATATCAGCTATACGTTCAAAGCTTCTTTATATGAGCACCATAAGAGAAATCTGTACGATCAGTATATTTTCTAGAGACCCCAACGCACAACTTATTGGAATGTATAGTTTGCTCAAATCTCAAATAAATTAGGAATATTTTATCACATAAAATTCCGAGTGAATTCGGCAGTGTGGCATGTCAAGATGAATTTAAAAATCGATCACTTCTACATCCGCAAAGTTTGAGTAAAAAAAATTGGCTACTCAGTAGTTCCATTATCCTCGCGCCTAAATTGTTACTATGATAACAGAGTAAATAATAATTAATCTATCTGATTCAGGGACCGGAATGTAGACCAAAAAGCGGACATAGAGAAGCTGATTTACGTTCGGTCCGAGTCCTAGGCGGTTCCTAATTCAGAGTCGCCACCAACTCAAAATTTTGATAGGGATGGATGAATAACAATGAGTAGATATAATAAACAATGGAGTACAAGTATCAAGGAACCATTACTCGTGATATGTGTCACGGTACTGAAGCAAGTGACAGGTCTGGCAAGTCAGGTTATAGGTTATTATATAAGTCATTCACAGGCACGATTACTCGTATTCTTTGTATCGGATTTTTTATTGCTCTTATCAGTTGAAGTTCTTATGATATGATAAGGATAGAAGCAGGATCAAGAAATGTTTCCGGATTATATTTGGATTAGATCATGATTTTGTCTAGTAAATCTAGTTTGCATGACGGGAAAAGTGGAAACAATTTTAATGATAACTTGCGACTAAAGTAATTTCGCTTTCATAAATTAATAATGGAAATTAATGGAAGTGATACACTGTGCTGAGCATTTGAGGCACGTACCAGTTATAATAATAATGTTATGTTTCTGTAAAAACCGCGTGTTAAATAATCCCTAATAATTTGTGCTAATCATGTGCGTTCAGAAGTGACTTATAAGCTATTGTGTTATTTCATAAGTATTTGCTCATTACAATTTATTTAATTCATATTCTGCATATTCAATCAATTAAATTAAAATTTTTCACGCTGCTCAACATCGAATTTGCCAATAAAATTGAGCACAGTAGCGACCCTTCTTACACACAGAAGAATGTATGGGCTATATTATCATAATAGTGACACACATATAAAGTATTAACTTCTTGGCTGTGCAGTGGCTGCATGAATAGCAAGTAGCACTTTTACACCTTTTTTCTTCACTAAATTGTATCAGGATAGCCCACAGAAGGGGAAATAACGTATCGTTATTTAGACAACCTCGCACTCATTTCTGTGAGATACATGATATGATAAGATCATCCACACGATTATTCCGAGTCCAGAAGATTTTGTTAAAGCCTTTCCGTCTAGCGACAGTGACTCTCATAACCAGGCCTTTAGGTACGAATAACAATAGCGGCGTGTTATCGATCGGAAGACAGAGGCTTAGGTTTTCATGTGATAAACACTCGTTACAAAAATTATGAATCATGTGAACTTAGTCATATCAGATCAATGCACCATATTAATTTGAACGAATTTAATGTGACATCGAGAAATAAAACATGTAAGATGACTTGGAAATTTATTGGACGTGATATTTACTATAAAATTTTAGAATTTTAGACTAAGCTTAATTTCAGCATTGTCTGAGTATTAATCCGTTTAAATGAATAATTAAGGCGTGAGTGATGTTAAGTTTACTGCATACAGCACAGAGCCGTACGAGCCAAACCTAACTGTCGCACTTTACGAATATATTTGAATTTTGTAGTATAAATGACGCGAAAGAACACTGCTTTACTGAATAAGCTATGATAGGCAATCTCCGTGTCAAGCACCGCGTTTACACAGCGCGTGTGACTGATTTCGTTGCAAAATAAATTATTTCAACTTATGAATATATTCATTGATGTTGTTTGTAATTTGAACCATTGAAATGAATTTCACGGCCTTCACGTCGTAGGAGTTTTTGCTAATTGTGTCCGGAGTTTCTAGTTTAGAATAATCAATACTCATTTTTCTGATTTTGGTTTCTGCACCCTCATAAAAGAAGTATCAGCCGCCGGTTGCTGTTTTGCTGCGTTAATAATAATCAGTAATAACTTTAACTGCGTGTAATATTAATCAGTAATAATTTTAACTGCGTGTAATATTAATCAGAAATAACTTTAACTGCAGCCGTCGGCACTGTTGCTGCAGGTGCTAAAGCTACATCCGCATGTTCTCACCCTGCTTGTCCAGCAGCCTTGGGTGCAGCGATCGCTTTGCTCCACGTGTCTTTTTGAAGAAATTCTAAGCTCGTTTCAAAATGGACGCCAGTTTTTGTCAACGTCTAGTTTGTGTGGCAGTGTGTCTGCAAAAATATAATGTAGCTAATTTACTTTTCATTATGGTGATCAGTGATGAACTGATCTTGGGTGAACGGAGTGGTGAACAGGTCTTGGGTGAACGAAAAGGTGAATAGATATTGGATGAACGAAATAATGAACAGGACTTGGGTGAACGGAGTGATGAACCGATCTTGGGTGAACGGAGTGGTGAACAGATCTTGGGTGAACGGAGGGGTGAACAGGTCTTGGGTGAACGGAGTAGTGAACAGGTCTTGGGTAAACCGGGTGGTGAACAGTGAACCGATCTTTGGTGAACGGAGTTATGTACAGGTCTTGGGTGAACGGAATGGTGAACAGGCCTTGGGTTAACGGAAAGGTGAACAGATCTTGGGTGAACGGATTGGTGAACAGATCTTGGGTGACCGTAGTGTTGAACAGGTCTTTGGTGAACGGAGTTGTGAACAGGTCTTGGGTGAACGGAAAGGTGAACAGATCTTGGGTGAAAGGAGTGGTGAACAGGTCTTGGGTGAACGGAAAGGTGAACAGATCTTGGATGAACGGTTGGGTGAACGGAATGGTGAACAGGTCTATCGTGAACGGAGTGGTGAACAGATCTTGGGGGAATGGAGTGGTGAACCGCTCTTAGGTGAACGGAGTGGTGAACAGATCTTGGGTGAACGGATTGGTGAGTGGTGAACCGATCTTGGGTGAACGAAGTGGTGAACAGTAACGAAAATATATGGCGGAAAAATAGAAAACTTTTAATCCATTGGAATAATAATATTTAGTGAGCCGTGCGTGCCATAATCTTGGAATCCTAGGAGAATGTATAAACTCTCGTTTGAATAGCGCAAACCCCACCAAACTTCGTTCAATGAAAGACCGACGTCGCGTAAGGTGAATGACGTCGGGTTTGATTCGACCTAGCATGCTTCACCTTCATAGCGAAAGCATAGCAGCGAGTTAGATTAATTAAAATCAATTCATCAGCTTCAGAATATTAGATCAATTCATATGCATATCAGTTAACAATCGATTCTTTAATCATTCAATTAATTAATATATACATTAAATAAATTTGTTAGTATATAACTCGGCCTTTCTTCTTTATTTTAAATTCAGGCCGTGAAGCGGCATAAAACTCCTCTGACCCAAAACACCGTCCAAGATAATAAATTGCGCCTTTCTAATTGTCGGACTAACAGCTTAAGGCCTGAAAGATTGACCTCAGTGGACGAGTCTGTCCGGCAATGGGCTGACCACATCACCCTAATATAGACGGTGGCATCGGATCGCTGGCACACTGCTTGCTGGGCAGCGCGCACGCAATGCAGCGATGTCGCCGCAAGCTGTGACGCGAGTGCATTCTTGGAGCGCGTAATCGAACGGGCACGTGGCAAATGCTGCCGGCGGGGCATTGGCCGACTTGGCTCGCACAGCAGAAATTTTTGGTTCAAAAACCGCATGGAATTCCTCCAGGCTTACGTCACCCGGAAACTCTGTATGACCTCTTTCCGTGAGTTTATCCCGTGAACACCACAGCGCTGGAGGATCGAGCTAACCTTCTAAAGATTAACTTGAAGCTAACCTTCGACTAAAGTAATTTCACTTTCATAATTATAATAATGGAAATTGATAGAAGTAATGCACTGTGCTAAGCATTTAAGGCACGTGCAATATAATAGTAATATAAAGTTTCGGTATTACCCGTGTGTTTAATTATTTGTAATAACTTGTGCTAATCATGTGCGTTTAGAAGCAACTTTCAAGAAATAGTGTTATTTCTTAATTATTTTTTCATTAAAATTTATTTAATTTATATTCTGCATATTCAATCAAAAAAATTCAAATGTTTCACGCTGGTCAAGATCAAATTTGCCAATAAAATTTAACCAGTAGCGACTCTTCTTGCACACAGAAAAATGTGTGGAATATATTATCACAATAGTGACACACATATAATGTATTAACTTCTTAGCTGTGCAGTGGCTTCAAGAATGGCAGGTAGCACTTTTACGCCTTCTCTTTTTCGCTAAATTGTATCAGGATGGCCCACAGAAGGGCAAAACTTGTATCGCGGTTTGGACAACTTGCCACTCATTTCTGTAAGATACTTGATATGATAAGATCATCCACACTTACGATCATTTTAGGTCCAGAAGATTTTGTAATGTAATGAGTTCTAACGGATGGGTGTCTTCTTAATTCATTGACGGTAGCGTCTTATGGGTTCATTTATGTTAGGGTTTGATAGGCTTGGTCTGGGCTCCAAAGTTTATTGAAATAGAGTAGCGGAACAGGAGAAGAAATTTTCCTGCAAATAAACACACATTTAAATATATTATTACATGACAACTAATAAAAATCAGAAAATTACAACAAAATCATGAACATCTTTCTCACTGTTATTCTATTACAGAATAGACAATCTAAACGTTTACCAAGAGCATGAGCACAAGCAACTTGCTTCAGTAAGGATCCATGAATGACCAAAACGTAAGACTGCACCTTCCAATTGTTGAATTGATGTTGCCAGAACATCTGTTCCGAAATTCTTAAAGCTAAAAATCATTATAGTCCTTATTGTCCGTGAGTAATTTATGGGTACAAATCCTCATGAGTTTACCAGCAGACATAGTTAACTCTGAGTCCACTGTGTCACTGAGAGCTTGCCTCAGACG